TCTATTGCAAACTGCAGGCTGTATTTCTGATCCTGTCGGATTTTATAGCCCTTTCACTATGAGAATAAGTGTCTGTTTCAGGAAATCTGGTCTGCCAAAATTGATTGGGACGATGAATCGCCACCTGATCTTAGTTATAAATGGAAAGCCTGGTACGAAGAAATTGAAGAACTGAACCACCTCAGAATTCCCCGGTACTATTTATATGGAATATTAGATGCAGATGTGAAACAAATATGCAGATGTGACTCCATAACTTTTCTGATGCTAGTTTGAAAGCTTATGGATGCGTGGTATATCTAAGAATAGTTTTGAACAATGGAACTTTTCAAACAGTTTTTGTTACTTCCAAGAGTAGAGTTGCACCTCTGAAATCCCTTACACTTCCTAGATTGGAGCTTTTGGGTGTGCTATTATCCGCTAGATTGAGTGATAAAATCGCAAAATGTTTAAAATACGAAGTAATCCCCTTCCACTGGACTGATTCTCAAATAACGTACTTTTGGGTTCGTGGATCTCCCGAAAAATTTAAATCTTTCATCAAAAACAGAGTTTATGAAATTCAGAACTAACTGAAAGCAATAATTGGCATTATTGCCATGGGAAAGATAACCCCTCTGACCTGATATCACGAGGAACTACTGTTGCTAATTTAAGAAATTGTTCACTTTAGTGGTGAAGTTTGATGTGGGAAATGATAAACAACTAGAATGCCGTAGTAAGACATCTGTTTATGACATTGTTATGAAGAAAGATGATTAACTATTGGATATAACAAAATTCAGTAATGTGCTGAAATATCTCAGAATTATGGCATGGATTAGACGTTTTGTTGCTAAAGCAAAAAAACTGCCTGCTAATAGTGGAACATTAAGTGCTTCTGAAATTCAGGAAACTAAAATTTTTTGTGTTCGTAAAGCCCAGATGGATTTCTTCACACCTGAAATTAAGGCTCTTCAATCTAACAAGTCAATTTCTCCAAGCTCTGATATATTCAGGTTGGCACCGTTTCTTGATGAAAATAAAATTCTTCGAATTAAGGGAAGATTAGAAGAAACCGAATATACAGTTGATGAGAAGCATCCAGTTCTTCTTCCTAAAGATTCCAAATTTACTGAATTAATTGTAAAAAGGGAACATTATAACGTTCTGCATGCGGGAGTTGCAGCAACTTTAGCCAAACTACGGCAGAAATTTTGGATTCCTAAAGGCCGTCAGTTGGTAAGTCTTAGGGAACTGTTTAATTTGTTGGAAATATGCAGTAAAACCAGCGAAACAAATGACAGCTCAGTTACCTAAAGATCGATTTGTTGAAACTCCACCTTTCTATGTTACACGCGTCGATTTCACAGGTCCAGTTTACATCAAGTCTGGAAACGACATTCAGAAATCATACATCGTATTGTTTATGTGCGCTGTTACACGAGCGTTACGTCTAGAACTCATTTCCAATATGTCTGCAAACAAATTCATTTTGGCTCTCAGACGTTTCATTTCAAGAAGAGGAAACTGTCACACCTTTTATTCAGATAACGCGAAAACTTTCAAATATGCTGCCAAAGATTTACAGTATTTTTACAGCATTATTGAAAGTACAGACTTTCAAAATTTTCTAGCAAATGAAGGTTTGACTTGGAAATTTATCATCGAGCTTGCTCCATGGTGGGGAGCTTTTTATGAACGCCTTATGAAAAACATAAAGGAACCATTGAAAAAGATATTAGGCAGAGCACAACTGAATTTTGAAGAAATTATGACTGTGTTGACAGAGGTCGAAAATATTGTGAGTAGACGTCTTTTGACCTAATTTTACAATGATTTACATGAACCTGAACCGCTTGCAACGGCTAATTTTCTATTGATCGGACATAAGGATGAATATCCATACAACTTTGCTGAGATCCTGAATAACTCTCCAACAAGAAAGATAATAAATTGCCTTAACTTCAGGTGTTAATAAAACGAAAAGAATATCAGACAGCACTTACAAAACAGTTCTGGAAAAAATGGAAAACTCAGTATCTTCTTGAATTAAGAAATGCTCACTTCTTCAGTACACCAGAAGCCAAGAAAAATCTTAAAATTGGTAATATAGTTTTACATGAAGGAACAACTAAATCTAAGTTCCTCTGGGATTTAGGTCGAGTAATTCAAGTCTTTAAAGGACGTGATGGTCTTGTATGATCATGTGTGGTAAAAACTAAAAAAGGAGACTTTAAAAGACCAGTGCAATTGATATACCCCCTTGAACTATCAGACTGAAAATGAACTAATTTTGTAACCTTTTAATTTTATTTCTTATATTTCATGTTCACTAACATTAATTTTAGATAATTAGTTTAGTTATTACTAATAATTTACTGTTTGTAATTTGAATTAATATTTACGTAGTAAGTAACATTTGAATTGAAGCAGTTAACTATATTTGTTGATTTTACATAGAATTTCCTTTTGCAGTTTATATTTACATCAGTTGAATGTACTTGATATGTAAGTTGCTCTCTTACATTTTTATCATTTGTATGCTGAAATAGTGATAATTTTTGCAAAATGATCAGGTAGGGAGTGTGGAAAAATCTCCCAATTGATTGCCGTTAGAGGGCGCTTCGCTTCTGAAAAAGAATGTTAGTTTTTTAGTTTGCGACGTAGTTAGCAGTGAACTATCGATGTAATCGAGGTTGCTTTGTAAATAAAATCATTATTTTTGTAGATTGTTGAAGTATTTGGCTTAAATTAGTATTAGATCAACCTTTTGCCAAAAGGCCTAAGAAGTAGTAGTGGACAAACATAACAGTGGGTGAGATTCAAAATATAGGGAATCAGAAATGAAGATATCCGATTAGATAATGTTAATGTTAACATTAGTAGGTATTCTCATTGAAATATAGGTTTCTTTAGAATACATAATATCGGGATAGTTCATAGATACTTTTAATTTGTTATGTTGCTCTTGCTTTGATGTTTATCTGCTTACCACATTCTTCAGAAATTAAATTATGTAATTTTTCTCTCTCTATTTTCTTATAATAAAATGAGTAAACAAAATGAGGAGAATATGCAAGTAGCAACCACATTCTGTTTCATACAGTGTTATCCTGATTGAATATTTGGAGTGTGGTCCATACTGTTATTTCTGATCTTTATTGTTCCACTTTGACAAGGTTACACGAAGCCATTCAACACAAATGCCCTGATTTGTTGTTGAGTAATGGTATTTCAATTTCTGAATTTAGAAGTTTGAAAGCTTTATTTATAATGAATTATTATTATTTAATGTTGATGCCTTAGTAATATTATCACAAGATATGGGACCTGTAATTTTAATTTAAAATTTTAATTTAATGAATGCAAGGTAATGTTAATACACGATTTTGTAGTAGGCAGCATTTTTTAGGTTTTTCTGAGCAAAGATCAGTAAGCACTGTAAATTTTTGTCACTCTAGTATGTGCCTCAATTTCCAAATAGATTCATAGATCACTAATAATTGCCTATTCTATTTACTGTATTTGCCCTAAGTGGCTGTAAGCTTTTGTGAGACTAAACTACGTGGGATGTACCACAGCTCAGCCTTACATGTTTATGAGCTACCCATTTCAAGAGGCATCTCCGGAGAAAAGGTAGACCAAAGAAATATATTGCTGGCTCTTCACCAAAACATCTTACAAGAGAAGCGGTCAAATTCTTGGTCACGGCAAGACAGAGGTCAGAAAATGGCATGCGGCAACAGTAACAAAAGCGTTTAAAACGATTTTTGAAGAAAAGTCACTCAAAAAATATATAAGGATAAACAACATTTTAAAAGATGGTGAGGAGGACAGCCAGTGAACAATAAATTTCAACAATAGGACATTTCTGTGGATGTTTAATCTTATGCCTTTAGGTTTTTGCATGACTGGAAGTTCTTTCTTTTTATAATGTGAATAATAAAATGTGAACACATTTTAGCAATAAAGTTTTCTATTATAATGCCAACAAACATACCTTCAGTGTAATGGTGTTTTGGTTATGCAAATAATTATGTTTTCATTGTTCTTCCAAAAAGTAAGAAATTCATCAAACTTCCTATAAAATACATCCATTACATGTTAATACCATGAAGACATTTTTCATTTTGACTTATTTTTCTGGAATGGCAGGTCTATAAATTTTGTCTTCAAATCTTTCTAAACCTTCTACATTTAATGCCTAAATCTGAAAGAAAAATATCCCTACCATCCTGTAACAGTAAAAAGCCAAAGGTTTTTTTTCTTCTTGCGGGGGGGGGGGGGGGGGATTACGAAAGTTGTGTATGAGCCCTTCATTAACAAAAAAGAAATAATTTTGAGATGCTTATGTTTCATTTCCTGCCCAGAAACTTGAGTATCGCACCATCTATATTCAAATAAATTTAAATGATTACCCATCAAATCAAATTTGTCAGTGAATTGCCAAAAATATCCCTGCAGAATTCTAATTCACAGTCTAAATGGCAGTCGTAAAAAACAGACAGAAATGTTAGTGTCATGACGTGATGACCACGCATGCGCAGTTTAGCCGAACGGCCGCAACGCCTCTCTCTCATGAGACTTACTAGAGAAGAGTAGTTAGTAGGTGGTAGCGAAGTAACGAAGGAAATGTGTTGTATGTCAGCTTAGATGCAAGAAACGAAGTGATACTTGTGTGTTCATCGTTTGTACTTATTATTTTTATTTGTGTGTTAATAAAGTTTTGTGCCGTTAAAATGGCTGTTTTATGCAACGCACACAATACGATACGTCTACGGTAGGAAGTAAATACATATCCAGAAGCTACACGCCCAAGAAAAAGAAGGATATGACAGTTAGATAATTAAAATTAAGGACCTTCTGCTAATTTTGGCCAAAACTGAAGACTTTTAAGGGCCAAAAATCATTTCCAAAAAACCTAAGGACTCTTAAGGTATGCATTATATCACTTATAAGTTTTTGTAACAGTATTTAATCTAAATTGATTATGAAAACAAAATCAGAGAATATCTTACCTGATTCAAAGCTAATGCTACAACAAATGATAAAGCCTTTCGAATAATTGGAACTTTTGCCTCTCGGGCTTGTGTGACTATATCTGTTGCCAGCTGGAAGGTTTCTGGCGTATTCTGAAAGTAAACGAGAGACACTTTCAAATAAATTTGCCAGATACAAAATATTAAAAAGAAAATAAAAATTCAGGCTGTAGCAGAAAACTTTAATGAATTTTTTATAAAGTATTTTTCTTTCTAAAACTAGCATTACTAAAATATTATTGAAAGACATAATATACCTAACTATGATTCAATTATCTTATATTCATTGACATGTGTATAGAAAATTCTAAAGCTTTTATTCTTTTAATAGATGATTCTCCGTTTAATCTTTTATTAAAACTTTAATATACATGAAAATGGAATATTCGGAAATTTTTCATTATTTCCATTCTTCCCTTCATCAATTTTAATTTACTTCTGTTTATACGGACTGTTACTTTGATTTATGACTTATCAGGCATAACTGAAAATACCTTTGTTTACTTCTCTTGGTGCAATTAAATGTTTGAAAATCTTATCAAAATAGTCTTATGAAAAATTATTTTCTGTGAAAGAAATTATCTATGCATCACATTTCTTTGAGCAAAACATTTCACTACAAATAATTAAAGATGAAAGCATTATTCAGTAAGGTATATTAATCAAAGAGAGATAGGATGGTGTTTTGAGATACTGCAATCCAGGCCACTGAAATTTGTTACAGAGTTTATTTGCTGTAGCTATTGGTGGTCTTCGTATGGCAGCAGAAAAGACATCATATATAAGATCTGGTATGTTCAATCAAGAAAAGATCTGGTAAATGCAGAAGCATGAATACAATTTGTAGTGTGTCAAGGAAGCATCAGATATGTGTTCATGCAACGTATTACTAGAAGACAGCTCTAGAGAATTCCTGAAGATAAGGGACAGTTACAAGTCTTAGAATGTTTATGTATTATAAATACTGATTTTTCATAGTGCCAGATATGTATACCAAAGATGCAAGAGGAACTCATAGCCCAATCACATCTCATCACAATACTTTGTACATCATACAATATACATCATACCACAATACTTTTGTCAGGCTAGTATGACAATGTGAAGGCAAAGTTCCAATGAGTACTCTCTTTAGTGGCACTGTACATACACATCTTTGTCATAATGATGCAAGAACTAGTGGCAATCACCTAAAAAAGATAATGTTATTTGCAATTTCGTACATATCATTCAATGTGTCACCGATACCTCTAATGCAGTGTGACAAGTACAAAAAACAATGGCTATCATACAAACGATTTCTATTAATCCAAATGAAAGGCATTTTTTGCAATTTTTTTATGAAAAAAAAACACATCTCATCTTTTTAAGAATAAAAAAAATCTGATTAAATCTGCAGGAATTCATAAAATATCCACTTAAAGGGTGCAAAGTTTTAAGAAAAAAATGAAATTCTTCATAGCTAAAGATGGGTTAGAAATGATGCTTTTGTTGTGGATTTTTTAATGAAAAATTGCTCATATTTATATCACACAGGAAAACCAAAAATACCCCATGCAGCTACAGTGTACAGTTCTCATGAATTTGATAAGGAATTCAATATTTAAATGACAAAAATACTTACTAATTTATAACATGCTCCAACTGTTAGAACCACAGCTTCTCGAGGAAATTTTGTTTCTGCAATTTGCTTAGATTGCAAATCTTTAAAGAAATGCAAAATTTGGTCATATTCTCCATTTTTGAAGCACAAATCCATGCACAACAGGTAAGACTTCAGTTGATCAAAAAAGCCATCCAATTCCTAGGTAATTTATTTACATAATGGTAAAAAAGTCAGGACATACATACTAAATATCAAAATATATAAATAAATTTAAAAAGAAATGCATACAAAGGAGCTATAAACTTAAAACTACATAAAGATCAAAAACACATTATTTTCTTGAACTCAAGTGGACAAATTTAGCTTTCATAATAGTTACTATGAAATAAGTGACAGAATAATGAACATTTTTCACGAAATAACAATGAACTTCATGACAGGATATGGGTAACAGATTTCAGCTACATAAAAATTGATCAACAGTATAAAAACTACATTTCTGTTAATGCCCCCAGTGTTGAATTTCTTCAAGTCTCTGTAATCACTGATTTTACTCATTAATGCACATTTGGCTACAGAATCCTTATAGAAAAGTAAATGGTATTTTAAAACATACAGCATGACAAAAACTTTGATAGTAATTACAAACATACTGATTTACTTAAGTCTGTTATTAAAATAGCTGTATGGCATATTGGCTGATATGAAAAATGAAGGCGAATGGACATACTATTTCATTTCATTCAGTTTATTGCACATTTACATTTCCTTTGTAATTTTTCTAGTCCACACTTAAGCAGCAAGCCTGAGGAACTGGAACTGAAGCAGGAAGTACTAAAATTCCATTCCACTCATTCCAGCAGGAAGTACTAAATCTCAGCATCGTTAAGCATGCAGCTACCTTTAAAGCAATTTGTTTCCGCTTTCAATCACATGATAAGCAATGCATTATCTTTAAAGTAGTACTTTTCTCAATTCAGTTTACTACACTCAGTTACTGCATTAACGGAACTTTCAAAACAATAGCAGAGCTTCATATTATAATTATTTGTACAAATCCTATTCTAATGCCATTTTCTTGGAAAAGTTTTTTCTTTCCTTCGTTAAGTTCCAAAGTTTTACAATTACACTTCAAAACACGAGGAGAATATATATAAATGATAAATACCATAATTTCCGGAAGAAAGGCCGCATCAGTATAAACGCCGCACTCGAGAAAAATGGTGGTGGGGGGGAAAAACTTACACAGCAACGCCGCAATAGATTAAATTGCGCGTGACATCGTCGTGGGCCGTATAGATGCAAAAACTTAACCCAAGTCCTGATATATGACATACCAGTTAAGAAAAATGCATGAAATAAAACCATAACTCGAAAATAAATTAAAGGTAAGAAATGTGGAAAATATATTTACCTTCACATATATACTTATATTTATCCACTAAAGAAGTCCATATTTGTAATACTCAGACTATATTATAAAAAATGTTGCAACAACGAAATATTAAATTTGGATGACAAAAGGAAATTTTAAATTTTACTTAGGAATTACAGCAAACTATACATCATATGAAGCCATCAAAATCTGATTCTTCACTATCTGAATTAAAAAGTTTAAGTAAATCCTGATCTAAGTCTTCCAGATCGTCACATTCATCCTCTTGGTTTACAGTCTCTTTATCTAAGGATATAATTTCAGCTTCTTTGAACCCTGCTGTTATTGACGATGTTTTTACCGATTTCCACGCACTTCCTGCCCACTTTGCAATTTCTTCATAAGATGCTCTATGCATTTTACCGCTTTTGGTATACGTATGCAATTCTTAACTCATCCAACACTCCCACTGCTTTCGGACTTCAGCTTTGAAGGATTTATTACCTAACAAATCTAATGGTTGTAAGATTTTTGTCAAACCACCAGGAATTAGTGCTTCGGTCGTAGACATTTTTTGACATATTCTTTTCACTGACTCAAAGAAATGATCACGCATGGAATTCGTTATCAATAACCCCTTTGGTTGGAAAAAAGATCCCATACGACACTGCCAAACTTTTTGTAGCCACTCATGCATGATTGTTTCGCACATCTAGCCGTTCTCATTTGCACAAATAATTACGTCATTAGGAAAATCTCCCTTCGGAATAGTCTTTCGTTTAAAAATGATCAGCGGCTTTAGCTTGTCACCGTTTGCGGCACAAGCTAACACACATGTAAATGATGTTCTTTCATGGCCCTTCATAAGCACAGATACAGTTTTTGCACCAGTTTCATCAACAGTTCTGTTTCCAGGAGAGTCGAAAGCTAACGGCGTTTCATCCATATTTATTATCTGTGACCGAAGGAGTTTTTTTTTTTTTTTTTTTTTTGGTCAATAATATCTGTCACATATTTTAGAAAAGATGATGTTTTATCCTGCCAGTTCATTGGTAATTGTTGCCCGACTGTTGTTCTAGTACGCACAGAAATATTTTTTCTTTTCATAAATCTGCTACACCTCCTTTGAAATCATTTATGTTCATTCGTTTTGCTATAAATTTTGCTTGTAAGCTGATTTTTGCAGCCGAAATTGCCATTCCCTTTCCTCGTTGCTCCTTTATCCAGTTTGCAAGGTCGTCCTCTATATTTCGCCACCTTACAGTACCACTTCTTTTGGCTCGTTTCTGTTGTGGCATATTTTTAAGAAGTTATTTTTCAGTTCTCCAATGTTGAATACATCTGTCGGCCACTTCAAACTCTCGAGCTGCTGCTCGATTTCCAATTTGTTCAGCACGTGAAATTACATTAAGCTTAAAACCAGCAGTATAGCTTCTGTGCCGTTTAGGGACATTTTCAAAAATTTTCCGCTCCCTTCTTACTTAAAAACTATTCAACAAGTACTTGTACCCAAACTAATGGGATCTGTATCTGGCAGAATGCCAAGAAAAATCGATTCATGCTGAAGGGGAAATACGTCAGAGTTCCTTATTGCGAGGCAGGTGGAGTCGTGTCCGCCTTTGAAAAAAATTGCAGAAAAGGCAGGGGTAGGGAGAGGATGGGTCCTGGAAAATTCATCAAATGGCAGAGGAGAGAGACTATTCAAACTGATGATAATGTTGATTTGAAAGGGGGAAGAATGTTATTGTTCTGAGATCTCGTTTAGGGTGAATGAAGCATAGGTCCGTTCAAGGAAAAGAATGTAAACAAAATAACGTTCGCAAAAAGCAACTGAGTGTGCCTTTTGTGTGGGAACAGCACCAGTCTATGCACAATGACAAGGCCATCCAAACTATGTACAATGACCATTATAGGAAATATTTTATTTTTAGTGTACCTAAACGCCGCATGGGTAGATACGCCACACCTGCTGAAAATTTAAGTTTTAAACATGTAAACGCCGCGGCGTTTCTTCCGGAAATTACGGTACTTAAAATATTTCTACAAGAAAGAAATTTTTATAATGAGGATAAAAATATAATCAGGCTTTCAATTAAGTTTAAAAGAAAGTATAAAATTTAATGAAAGAAGGAGAAAACTAATTAAACAGATGATTAAACATTTGCCAATATTCAATCTATTTAACGTCGAAATTATTGGCATTGGTACAAATGTATATACATTTTTATTATTGAATAAAAATTTTGAAATTTACAAATAATATGTTTTATTCTAAAAAATATAATAGCAGCTAATATAATAACATTTTAGAATTTAAAATCACAACTTCATTTTAAATTCTAAGAATTTAAGGCCACCAAATATGCACAGCATAAAACCTACTGATTATAATAATTCATTACTTTTAAAATACTTTAGAGCAGCAGTTCTCAAAGTGTGCTGCTCCAGGGAACAGCATAGGGTCACTTAAAACATGAGTGAGCCAAAAGTCCTGTCAGGTGGTTTGGGGTAGGGAAAAAAAAAGGAAGACCTTTAAACTAGTTTGCCGGGATGCTATCCATAAATATTATTGCAAAACTGTACAGTTAGTGCAGTGGGACTATACCTGCACAGTCCCTGGTTGAATTTCGATGTTCCACCAACTTCTAACTGTACACATTGCATGGAAATTCCAAGCCGAAGCTTTTGAAAGATGGTGTGATCTGATTTATAATTCTTTTATTTTAACTATTTCTCATGGATCATATGAAATACATGTTTAAATACATATTTAACATTTTTATATGGTAATAAAACATGTGATTTGTAATGGTTGAAAAAAATCTTTTAGTTTAGTTTCCGCATTTAAAATAATAAATATTTATAATAAAAATGGATTTTTTTCATCATACACCTGAAAGTTTTATTATTGTGCAATAAACTGTTGTAACTTCACTCAACCCAAAACAATTGCAAAAATATATTTAATTATGAAGAGGCCATTCGATGGCTCTTCAAGTTATAGTTCTACAAACATTTCAGATATGTGCCAGTGATTCAGTAGCTTTAAATCCATTATTCCTTCATTAGTTGAATCCGATTATAAAATAATTGGTAAGGAGGTATGCTTTAACCCTTAGCCTGTCGAGTGATTTTCTGCGAATCCCTTTAAAACTGTCGCTAGTTTTGGACCGAACTTCCCGTAAAATGTCGCGAAAATAACCCTAAACCTCTGAAAATTGTCAAGCAGTTCTTTTGTTATTTCCCATCCCTCCCAGAATTTTACTTCAATGATTCCGCTAAGTGAGATTGATTACTAGATATTGTTCGGTAGATGTGAGCTCTCAAGAGAATTGCAAAAGGCTAGACTCTCCTCTCCGTCGTGATGACCGTCTTAATGCCGCAGGGTACAGCTGCGAAACTTAAAAGTTTCCTTCCCTTAAACAATCTTATCTCTACATATCTTCTCATATAATAAAAGAAAGAGTCTGTCTGTGTGTGTGCCTTTCGTTCGCGCTGCGCGTAAGCTAATAGACCCACGGCTACGAAATTTGGTACATAGGTACATCTACACAAGAGCCAGTGCACTTCGAAGCGATTTTTTCGAAATTCGAATTCGAATTTTTTTTTTATTTCATGTTTTTGTGACGAAATCGTGTCATTTTGAAACATAATGGGCTATAGGAAAGCGAGATTTTACTCTACACACTCCATTTTCACATCGTCATGAAACGTAGGCACTTAGCTATTTTACGAACTTAAAATAAATTTCGTGTTTCAATAAATCGATTAAATACGAATTTATTTAACAAAGGGAGCTTAACACTTTTTCAATGGGATTTTT